CCTGCTGCTGCTTGAAGCGAGGTAGACCATTTCACTCATCTTGAGGCCTTAGATGAATGACGGGAGTTAGCACACCAACATCTCAAGGTCTACCAACATACCTTGGCAAAATCTTATAACAAGCATGTACGACCTTGTACCTTTCAGGTTGGTGACCTTGTTCTTAAAGCTGCTAAAAACATTATGCACAACACCTCTCCCCCAAAGTTCACCCCCAAATAGGAAGGGCCCTATGTTATCATTGAGGTCCAACCCAGTGGTTACTGCAGACTGCAGGGTGATGGGCGCAAGGCTAAACCCATAAATTTCAGTTGGCTAAAGCTTTATCACAGTTAGTTCTTTTGTACTTTCTGTTAGTCCTATATCAGAAATAATATATGCAAGTTTTGTTATCACACCATTTCTATAACTGCTCAACTTTCATTCAATAACAAAAGCTAATACATAATGGACCTGCTGGTCATTGATCTACAATCATTAGCCTACTCATAATTTAGCAAAATGGTTACATCGCCGCCAAGCTCGTTGTATGTCTCTTCTACTAGAGCCCACTGTTGTTCTGCCATCGACAGGTGTGATACCCCCTAATTTTGGAACACGGATTGATCAAGCCCGCGCACAAAATCAAAGGATATCAAAACAATTTAAGTATTTAACAAGCACAGAATACAAAGATGAATAATAAAGAATAAATAAACCGCTGAAGAAAACTAATAAATAAATATTACTTAATGATTCTCCAACAATTACAATTCGGAAATTCCATAACTCGAGGACCCCTTAAAACATTATCCAATAATCCAATACTATTTAAAAGTACACAAGATGAATAGACGAATGACAGTCTCCCAGCTGCGGATCCTCAACCTCGAGACTGGAACCTCTAATAACCTGAAAAATAAATCGTGGGTTAAACCCTACGAGCAAGTTCACTCTACCAGGCCTCTGAAAACCAATAAGCAGATCATCTCTGATAAAAACCAAACCTAAATATTTTTATTTATTATATTGGCAAATCAACCATGCCATTGTAAATATTTTTATTTATATATTGGCAATTCAACCATGCCTCCATAAGTATATTTATTTATACATTGGCAATTCAACCATGCCTCCGTGTATGTATATTTATACATTGGCAATTCAACCATGCCTCCACAGGTATATTTATTCATACATTTAATTAGCAATTCATCCATGCTTTCCATATATGTATTCTATTCATACAAATATTTAGGTAATATATTTAATCATTTGACAATTCATCCATGCCCACACTTTAACCATGAATTAACTTTAAAATTAACAATACGCTAAATCATACATAGCCATCACATGCATATTATACGCATATCATTAATTTAACAACCAGCCTATTAAGATATGCCAAATAAGAATGATAATATTAATCATCTTAAATGATTTATATATATATATACCTACACATATGTTATTTAATGTATATATGTGTTTAACACCTTCTTTAATAATCCTTGATTATTTAAAATCAATATACATACATACATACATATATATATATATATATATATATATATATATACACTTCCTTCCATAACAAATTATTAATTTATTATATTTACACAAATTAGTGCAACTAAATATGTCAGAAATAGTTTCCTTTAAATACTCCATATTGGTTTAAATAGTTTTCCGACACTTTCTCACTAAAACATAAATATCTCCTAGTAGGATGGGAATCTGATAATGAAATTGGTACCATTGGAAAGAAGACGAAAAATCCTTGAATTTGAGCTCAAGAATGACCCAATTTCGATTTAAAATGACTAAGTTATGACCGTTTTAATTTCTAGTGTCGAATTAGGCCAACATAGTTTCCCACGCGCGCCCACGTGCTTACTATGCACTTGCACGCGCTGGATTCAAGCCTCCTTGTGTGCTGGTATTGGCTAAGCTCTTTCAGCTACCGTGAGCTCACCACACTGAATCCATTACTTCCTTTATGCCGCATCCAATGGTCATAAATGAGTGCGCAAATGAACACGCTCACACTAGATTATTTTCTATTAACTATAATAGATCTAAGGTCCAGATCAGCGAGTGCACCATCTTCTCATGGTCTGCAATACACCAAATAATCCCATAGTTAACCAGACCACTTCTATGGTCCAGATACACATGCGCACCAAAGTTTTATGCGCCGCGATGCACCATATCAATTCACATAAGTTTAATTAATCAAATGGCCCTAATTGGCGTATACACCCTATTATCCTACACCGCGCCGCACTGGATCAATTCTTTATTGTGCCGCCGCTCCACATGCGCCAGTTACCTAGTATATATATATATATATATATATATATATAATTATTTTCCTAACAAATAATAGGAAAATAAATCCTAATAAATTCCTAAAAATATCAGAAAAATTCCAGAAAATTACAGAACAATTCTAGAAAATAAAGAAACCATAATTAACTCTCTTGGGTCACAAATCCACCTATAGATTGATTTTAAAATATACATAACACCTATATATATCAATTAAAATCCAATAATCTAAAAATCAAATATAATAGTTTATACTTTTTAATTATTCCGATCTAACCATAATTTTTAAACAAATAAATTTAATTAAAGCCTTGATACTCAAGGTGAAATCCTTATGAGTTCTAAGAGGAAAGTTAGAGAAAACTCGCCTGAAGGTTTCGAAACGAAACCGACGCTTTAAGCTTTAATTATCTCTTCCAATTCCGACGTCCTCCTTTTCAGATCCGACCTCCTCCTTGTCAGCCCTTCTTCTTCCTCTCTCTCTGTCTGTTTTATTTTTCTAACGTGTAAAACCTTTAACCCTAAAGCCTTATGTGTATTTTTATACACCTTAAATTCCAAATCCTGTTCCAACTAGTATTATGAATTAAAATAATAATCTTTAAATAATTTATATCTATAAACATATATATATATATAAATATATATTCCTTCCATAATTAACTCATTAGTTAATTAAATCATATATACTTATAAATATCAATAAATATATATCTATATATATATCTTTCCATAACAATTATTAATTAATTATATTTATATATATATATATATAAATAATTGATACAAAAGTGATCATTTAAATAATTAAATAACCACGGACCTTCATTAATTAACCCAATAAGGTTTCATACAAGCCCAAGACCACATCTTTTGGTCCAACTTTCCTTAAGCCCAATCCAATTAATTTAAATAAATAAGATAATTAATTAAATACAGAAATTAAAATAACTAATTACATGAAGCACATAAACAAACAAGAATTTACAACTAAGTCATATAATACCAATAAAATCAACACACCAATAATTCAATCAATAATCAACCACACAAACAATCAATCATCATACATAATCACGAAATATAACTTAATTAAAATAAGATAATTAATCTAGCACTCAATAAAATAAAATAAATCATTGAAAAATAAAATAAAATAATTAATCCTAATTAATAAATCTTTTAAAATTATCGGGGTATTACAACAGGCGAGCCTGAATCTCCTCCATCATACGCCTGTCGCGTGCAATTCGGGGCATCCAACTCTGCCATCTCCTTTGCCAAGAGAGCTTGCCCCACTACTCGCTCGCAAGCGTCAAATCTCCTGTTTAGCCATTCTATTTCCACTCGGTCCTTGAGCAACCCAATTAGCTCACGGGCCTCCTGCACCACTTTATCCGACACCTCCCCTCGTGCCACAGTTGCAAATATTTCGAGCACTCGCCCCAAGGCTTCGTACCCGAAGCGATGGAACATCGGATGCCTCCTTCTGATCGCCTCCACCGTCGTTGGTTGCGCTCGGTTCGCCGCCTCTAGCAAGGGGATGAAGTGTGCCCCAATCATCACTCCTCGTCAGGCCGTCTCCTCTGTCGCAGCCATGGCAAGATCCATCTCATTCTGTTGCCTCTCTTCGACTAGGGGCACTCCTATCCCACTATTTTTGCCACTTTCAACTTCTTTGCTCGACACTGGCCTATTCAAAGTACTGTTTGAGCCTTCCAGGGAAGATTGCGATTGCAACACTTCTACCTCGTGCGGGCCCATCTGTATCTCTGCTTCTATATCTTCCAACCTCACGGTGTCTCCTGAGGCCTGCTCTTCCACTGCTACCTCTTCTTCCTCATTCACATTGGATGCCCCTCGCCCAGGTATTCTAATAGCAGTGTGGGCATCAGCGATCTTGGTATCGAGGGCTTCTCCACTCGTGGCATACGCAAGATGGTTATTGGCGTCTTCACAACCTCCGACCGACGTCCTGCAACCCATAAATAATATTAATTATAATTCAAAACATGGTAACTCGACCCTTCACTTTCATTACTTACCAATCGCTGTCCGGATCAGAGGCAAAGAGCTCTCAACTGCCATCAGTCGCCTGACGATCTTTCTTTTCGAGCCACCGGCAGCTAGCGCTGCCCCGACACCTCCACTAAACTTTTCACCCGCGCTCGATGCCTCCGCTGTCTTCCCCTTTTCTACCCTCGACGAGGCATCATCATTTCTAAGCTCCACCACTTCTTCTGTCTCCCCAATTGACTCTTCATCTTCTGACACTTGGATTGCTGAAGCTTTCCATTTTTGCCGTCTCTGGATAGCGATCGGCTCTTCACTGACCATTTTTTTGGACTGGGCCTTCGTCGACGCCCTTCTATCTGCTCTTCGCTTGACTGGTGCAACGGATACATATGCCTAGGGCATAGCATCATACGCTACATCGCCCATTTCTGCAGCCAAGGGAGCCACTATCGATCTATAGCCTCCCACTCCTGGCCGAGGCATGCGCAGGGACACATCATCCTTGTATATAGGCATGGGAGTAAAAGGACGAGGAGTCTACAGGCAAAACCTCCTGAAGGCCCCCACGCAATCTGCCCAAAATCGCCTGTAGTTTCCTGTTATATCCCCATGGCGATTTCGCGAAGGAATCACAATACTGCCATTTTCTTCCTCATATAGGTATAGTACACTTAACCGGAATAAGACTTCGTCAAATTCATCATATATTTCTTCTGAGCCACAGTCGCTTGAACCCCTTGATTATAGCCAAATTGCCTGGGTACCAGCCTTGGGTTATACACTTTGCTCACATCGCCCAGCTCAAATCGCCCGGGCAGATGTCCTGGCAGCACCACCAAGGCAAAATTTTGCTCATCTGCATCCCCCGATTCTTGCCTTGGTGTGATCACCCTCGAATCTTCCCAACAGATTCCCATGTCTGCCACCCTTGTTATCTCCTCTCGATAGGGCCTGAACCCAAACTCTCGTTCAGAGTCTATTACTTCCCCAAATGGTCGCCTGCACATCTGCCCTGACCAACATCTCCCTCGTGCCCTATGGTCGTTCAATTCCAAGGGTAAAGGGCCATACGCGGGGAATCTCTCGTACAAGAACATCTGTAAAAACCCACTGGCTACATAGGACACCATAAGATAGCGGCCAGTCGAGCGCGTGCTATCCTCAGCAATCATGTCCAATAGATGGTACAGTGTTCCCAAGAATAACGGCCCCAGTGGGATCGCAATCCCACTTGCTATCTTCACCGCTATCAGACACCATCGACTCAAAGGTGCATCGTCTGGGGTCCCTGGGAATATATACTTGGACAACCAGCACAGTACATATGCTGCGAGCTCTGCAAGATGTCCAATCTTGTCTCCATCAACAAAGGGAAGCTCGGACTTATCCCCCTTGAAGGAAGGCTGCAGGTCCTTGAACCAGTAGCGTATCCAGGCGCCTGTTGTACATTTTTTGGCTCCTTCTGCTCTCTCTTCGCGTTTGGCCCCCTTCGCATTAAAAAAGGACCCATAACTCTTTGTCTTCTCCAACCCTTCCTCTAATGCAGTCATGATACCCTTCTCCGCTTCATCCATCGTCAGGGGTACTGTATATCCTCTACCCATGACATGCAGGCCTAGTAATTGGGCCACGTCTTCCAATGTAGGCGTAAATTCTCCCCACTTCGCCACAAACGTGTGGGTTGCACTACACCATCTCAACACTAGCAATTCCAATCCCGAGGTATTGCGTGACACTTTCAATTTACGGGACGGACGCATGGCTCGCACAACTCGTGCTTGTCGCAGCCATAGCATATACATTTTGTGGCTGAAGATGTGCTCAGACCACTCCTCCCGTCCTGCGCATGGGCCCACTGGCATTTTAAACTCCATAAAACAAAAAGGATACATCCCTTGTTCAATGGCAAATCGGTGCACAGAGTCTGCCGGCGGTTGAGCTCCTGCTTCTACGACGACTTCTCCTTCCATTAACTGGGCACATCACTGTCAATCTCATCACTGGCTATGTCTCCCGTAGCTGTCCAGAACCTATCCATGGGCCCAAAGAACGGAGCCCTCTTCCATTCCTCCTCCGGCGATACTTTCGGCACTGGTTCACTGAGTTTGCCCAACTGCTTTCTCTTTGTCATTTTATCAAATATCTTACCCGCTCTTACACAGTAATAGCTTTGCTGCCCTCACACTCGTTTGTTTAACACAGTACGCTCACGTCACTTTGCTTCTTGGCCTGGCACGGTCTTTTTTTTTTTTTCTCTTTTCTTTCTGTAAAGGCTTTCCCTCTCTCCGCCCTGGTTCTATATATATAGATCACGGTTAGAGTTTTGGAAAAGACGAAGACACCGAACAGTTGTGTCTCATCACCTCCCCATTAAATAGGTAACTGACAGCAGCCGAAAAGATATCTGTTTCCAAGGCAAGACATTATTATGTTTTCTATGTACGCGCCGCTTTATCCTTTTATTTCAAAATTCAAAAACGCCACGTGCAGGGGGACTAAATGTGGACGTGGTTTAGCCATGTCACCAAGGGCCAAGTCAAACAGTCAACACTTTGACAAAGTCCACCTCAGCAAGGCATGTGATAGTCGATCATTGGGCCTCAATTTTAGTCTATATTTGGCCGATGGGCTTTGAACCTGAGTCACAGATCATCATAACCTCGATCCGAGTTGTTGTCGATCGACGGGCCTTGAACCTCGATCTGACCTTTTGACAATCTGTCGGTTGATGGGCCTTGAACCTCGATCTGTTAATCACAAATCATTGATCAACGGGCCTTGAACCTTGATCATAGTCACAAATTGTCGATCGACGGACCTTGAACCTCGATCTGACCCTTGACAAGCTGTCGATCGACGGGCCTTGAACCTCGATCCGACCTTTATAATCTGTCGATCGACGGGCCTTGAACCTCGATCTGACTTTCACAATCTGTCGATCGACGAGTCTCGAACCTCGATCCGACTTTCACAATCTGTCGATCGACGAGCCTTGAACCTCGATCTGACACTGCCATGATCGGTGGGCGTCGAACCTCGATCCAAGCAACGAAGAGTTATGGTTGGGCTCTTCAAGCGACATTGGGACGCAGAAGGGATTTTGGAATGGAGGATGGAAAATTAGTAACGTTTTGTCCACTAAGGCAAGACCCAGTCTAAAGATAAGAGCAAAAGACAGCTGGAATAGTACAATTGCCTTTACAGCCTACCATTTTTTGGATTATTCACCAGGAAAGGTACACTTGGCAGTAGATCCAAAAATGTAGGGATTAGGGCAACATGACCCAAAAAGGGAATGACCTTGACCCATTCCCAAGATGGAGGCCCAATAATGTACCACCTGGATAACCTAAGGCTATAAAAAGAAGGTAATGACGAAAAAAGGAGGTAGGAACTGACGGCAGCTTCTTCCCTACCATTGCTCCAATTCTCTGACTGGACTGGTTTTCTCTCCCTTCTTCCACCTTTCTGCATTCCTCATATTGCTTAGTGATATATTCCCAGACCTCTTTTCTTTGATTATTCAACTAACGAGAACCAAGTATCTACAAGTACCAATCGAACCACAATCTTGGAAACTCAAGTAATTAATCACAAAGCACACCCAACCATTCATATATTATAAAACCTAATTGAACCCCAAAACCCCACTGCCACCAACACCATCATCGCCACCACCTCACCATTCCCACCGCCGAATTAAATCACCCAATCGAACCACAATCTTGGAAACTCAGATAATTCACACTCAACCAGATAACATGTTCAACCCATTTGAATTTGGATTTTTTTTTAAAATTGGGTTAGGGTTCGATCATGTGTTTGAGATGATCTGAGGAAGAGACATTATTTGGTGGTAAAGGTTGAGATATGTGGGCATTATAATATTTTTATATTCCTAAGGATATTATGGTCAATTAATTTTATATTGTCTCTCATGTGACCATCACATGTTCATTTATGGGTAATATATGAACGGAGATGGCCGGATTGGGCAATTTGCAACTAAAGTGGTTAGTTTAGGGGGTTTTCTGTCACTTTAGTAGTCTAAAGGGGTTTCTTGCTAATTGAGTCATAGTTGAGGGGGGCTTATTGCATTTTACCCTATAATATAATAGAGAGAGAGAGAGTACGCGCGCAACGTGTAAAACATTTCCTTATAAATTTACTCAATTGATACTTCATCAGTGTATAAATTTTATCTTAGTTTTACTACTTCTTCTTTCTTTTATTATTATTATTATTTTTTTTTTCATGCTTTAGTTTTTACAACTTTCAATTCTAAAAGTTTAAGAAGAAAAAAGAATTTCTAAAAGTTTAAAATATCAAAGTAGGGGAAAAAAAATAAGTTTAATGTATGAGATTATAAGCTGCACACTCCATAGTGCAGAAATCTTCATTGCCGAAATTTATTTATTTATTTTTTCGGTGCCAGTAGATGTGGGTTGAAAGTAGTTATCAAAGTGTTTTTCACGTCCCACTCGACGTATGTAGAAAGTAGTTATCAAATATGTAAAGTTGTTATCAAATAGTATAAAGTGTTTTTCAGCTTATTGAATCGCAACACCAAACATAAACTTAAAATTTAATTTTAGCTCTGGTCAATAGAGAAAAAAAAAAATTTATATATATATATATATATAATATTTAAAGAGAGAAAATGATTCAGTTTCAAGTAGCACTCTAAATTTAGTTATTTGAAACTAATTTTTGTTCTAGATTTTTTATGAATTTTACCTATTTCAAATAATATTTGATATTTTTATTTTTATCTAATGAGAGAATAAAATAATATATATATATAATGACAAAAAAACACACTGACACGTACACATAATACAAGATTACGACTTGCACAAGTAAAAAATTTAAAGGGACTAGACTGTGGTCTGCTTGTGACTTGTGTATATTTTTCTAATTAGTTTATTATTCTGTGAGTTTTTCCTTCTATTGAAAAAAAAATAAAATAAAAAAACTAAGAAATACTTTCACTTTCTCTTTTTCATTATCGTTGATCACTTTCTCCAAATTTTCTTACAATTTGTCATTTCATTTTGAACAAGTTCATTGTGAGTATATTCACACGTAAGCTTATTATTATGTGTGTATAATGTGTATTTTAATCATGATTGACACATCAATTAGTAATAAGTACTTGTGATGAGATTATTATCTTTCACCATGAGAGCTAAGATAGTATTTTGCTTCATTTTTTGTTTATGTTTTTTTCTTTTTCTTTTTTTCATTTTACTTTAAATGGTAGTATGGTAGAATTTTAATTTTTGCCTAGATATTCTTTACTTCTTATTTTTTTCTTAATGTTAACATAACATTAACAACATTTTTTCATAATACAAGTTCAAATCTCAGAATAATCACTTTAATTATGCAAAAACAAGAAAAAGAAAATGTCAAAGGCTGAATTTAATCTACCTCCCTCCCCGATCTCGATGAAGTTGCTATAATCATAAAAAAATTCACAAAGAAAAATGGAAAAATGAAAACAAGATTAAAAGATGAGATAAAGATTAAAGTGGTTGAGAACAAGATTAAAACACATTGGGGTAAAGATTAAAAGTGTTGAAAACAAAATTCAAAGAGTTTGAGATAAAGGTTAAAGGTTTAAAAACGTTAAAAATAAGATTCAAGGGATTGTGGTAAAAAAATTTAAAAGTTTTTTTTCTAATTACGAGTACTTTTTTAAGATTTTGTTTGTGAGTGTATGTACCCTGTATTCATTATCATCCTTCGGAAGAGAAGACAATAATAATAAGATTCTATGTATCATTATCATCCTTGGAAAGAAGACAATAATAATAAAATTCTAGTGGATTTGTCAATAATAATTAGGCTCATCCTTTAATTGTTGTTTTCTACCTCATCGTGTATTGGCCATTCGCATCACTTCATTCAGATCTTCTTCATATTCCATGCCTTTATATTTTTCTAAATGTATTCGTTCTCTATCTTTGCATAATTTTTGTTTGGTCGCTGAGAAAACAGAGTAACAAAGAGAACAAAGTTTCAAGCACTGGGTAATAGACTCTGACTCTGAAATACAAGATGAATACTGTACATTTGAATGTTTTAAATATATGAATTTATTTTTATTATTATTATTATTATTATTTTTTTTTGCACCAACTCATCTCGAGTTATGAGGAAACATCTTGCCATGTACTATTGTACAATATATATGTATGTATATGCATGTATATTCATTCTTTTGGAAAGAAGCAGAATGTGAATTAAAGATTATGATTTAGAAACATATACGCACTGTTTTTCTTGATTCCCCTTGGTGGGTTTGCGTTGGGATTGCTCCGTTGATTTGTGAATCTTAGAGAAGTGACGTGTGAATAATAGATTAGAAATATTACAGCATTTGGTTCTGTACATTGATTGGAAGGATTTTGGCTCCTTGGAGGTGAATTATATAACTGGGTTTTGCATTTCAGGGCATCATATATATATATATATATAATAAACGTGTTGATAGAGATTGTTCAAATTGGAGGAATACCTTCCCCAATCTTTCCATTATCAACTTCAATTGTAAATCATCCAGGACAGAGCATGCTAGAATTCTGTTCATATTTGACGTTTTCGATACCAATCAAGCTACAACTGCATTGACATCCATGCTTAGTTTTTAATTTTAAATCAGTAGTAGTCCATCAAGCAGATTCAAGGAAAACCATTATCACTCAATCAATACAGCAGAACAGATCCTTCAAATCCATAAAAATGGACAATACAACTAACTCAAAACAACACAAAAGGCTTTAATCCTAGACACATTTGGGATCGAATCCGCAAATCACTCTATTTTGGCCCATCAAGATCCAAACTCCATTGTGATCACTAGAAGTGAATATTTATAACCCACTAAACTTAAAATTTTATAAATGAAGCAATGTAACAACCCTATGAAGTTGACAGAGATGGTAAATGTTGTAAAAAAGCCGATCAAGCATGCTCAATTCTCATCGTTCTTTGTTCTTTATTCAAACATAAACAGGAAGTAGTTAATGCAAATTGATTTGCTTTAAACTAATAATAATCGTTATATGTCTGATTCATAGTGCGCACGCGCACGACTGCAAGCATCTGCAGACACCAATATACATTTCCTGTAATATAGAAAATATGCAAGAGTTTTGTGATTCATGTCAACTAATGTTGTAAAGCAAATTATGCAAGAGAAAAATATGCAATACACCATAGAGGAATGGTATTCCTTCATTGCTCCAAAATAGGATCTGAAGAGAATGTTAAAAGTATAATATCTTTCTGACAATGTTAGCCATATCTTCCTAGGTGTTTCTCACACATGTTTGATCCATTAACATTTTAACTCTCTAATTATTTTACTTTTCACTCATCCTGAAAATTAACATGAGGATGGTAGACGAGACACACCCTTAAAGTGGTGCATCTTCTTCCATTTCTAGCACCACCAAATGAATCCTAATGTTGCAACCAGGCTTCAACCCCAATAAAAAACATTCCATATACAACCATTACAAAGTGACTCCAAGACATCACCCCACAAATGATCACCTGGCTGTGTGTAAACAACAAATGCAATACCAGAGCTGTGTTTGGTTAAAAAAAAAATATTATCCACCGAAATCCTTTACGTTTACTCCACAATAAATGAGAATACCAACCACATGAAAATTGAAACGCAAGGAAAACTATTATTATTTCTGCAGATAATGAATCTTCATCACAACTGTAAATTGCAAATATCTTGATGCCCATTTAAGATAATACAATGTATACAACTTAAAAAAGAAGAAGAAGAAGGATGGGAACATAAATTAAAAGCTAGATGAATTAGAAACATCAACTTACTATCAGTTCATATATAACTTTTCGAGGGCAAGTATAAACTTATGGTTTACCTTGATGAACACCTACCAACCACTTGGTCCTTTACTGGATGCAATTTTCTGAAGCCTAATCTGCTCTCTGAACTTAGCTATAAATTCAGCAGCCTTCCTATCAACCTCATTAGGGTCAAGTCCCGCATCATTGATAATGTCAGACTCAACCTCTGCTTCTTCGTCTGAGCTTACTCGAAAGTTCCCAAATTCACTGTCTGAATCTTCTTCAGATTCTATTGTTATATTACTACTGTCATCATCAAAGTTTTGCTTTTCTCCTTTCAGATTACCAAGATTTGGTTTTTGGTTGTCGAGCATGGAATTTTCATCTTCTGCTGTCCTTTTGGTATTTCCCTTGGATGATGCTTCACAATTGTAATGAGCTTTTCTAACCATGTCATCATCTGTATGATTTGCACAAATATCTCCTGTTTTCCTTCTTGTCATCGTCACCACATTCTCACTGGCTCTAATCCTTCTAACTGATTTTCCCCTTGAGAGACCTTTAACAATGGTTGTTGTGGGTTCCACATTTGAGCTCAAAGAATCCACACCCCATTTTCCTCTGCTCACTGGATCATCTCTTTTGCCCATACCAAAGTTTTCCAAGTTATCTTTGGAACTTCTATCCAAGTTCATATCAGAAAAAGAGCCAATGCTAAATCCTTGAGCCTTTGAAGTAAAGAATGATGTATCACCACTTATTGGTGCTGATTGTGTCTGTGAAGTGGGCTCAGAAGACCCATACAAACAACTCCTCTCTCTCTCTAAACCTTCCATATCTGAGTTTGGTACCGAGTATACACTAGAGGAAGGTGATACTTTCTTGGGTGAAGATCCAAAACTACTTCCAGACGGAATTGAGGAACGGAAAGACTGCGATTTGAGATGTTCCAATTCAAATTCCCCAACTGAGAGAAACCTGGAATGTGAAGGAGGCTTAACAGAATCCCCTTCTCCTCTGAAATCCATCCTCCCCGATCTTGAGCGCCACGGAACCGGGGAAGATAATACATCAGATTCTTCAAACTTTTCATCCAATTTTATTGGAACCATACCCCTAACTTTCCCCTTTCTAATTTTATCACCACTCTTAGATGAACTATTAGAAGAACCCTTCAAACTTGAACTAGATCCACTTCCTTTAAAGGAATCGGAAGTATCACTGTCCACAATTCTCGATCTCAGACTCCGAATAGGTAAATTCAAGGGTTTATAGTCAATGCTCGGTCCGGGTTTACCCCATTGATCTATTACATGGTCACTGTGAGCAGCAACAAACATGGTTTCACCTTGAAAATACCTAGAACCGGATGAATTTTCAAGCCTATTTTTAGGAAGTGAGGATCTGGGATCGTTCCATTCATCGAGAATAGAGCTACCATTAGTGACTCCAACCATGGATTCACTCTGTGAGTATTGAGAATTCCATGCTTGGATCACTCTTTTCTCATCAGACCCACATGGGTTTTCGAACCCATCTTCGAAAATAGAGGAAACATGTAAAATCCCAGACAAGTAAGTTTGTGAATTGTCAATTTTTGAGTAGCTTTCAGTGTTCTTTTGGACATGTCGTCGACTAAACAAGCCATAACACACAGCAATGCCGATGAATAGAAGACGAAAAAGATCCCATAGTTTAGTGAGTATAGTTTGGTTGATAAATTCAGGAGCTTGTGAAGGAAACAATGGAAGAAGAACAAGAACAAAAACAACAATGAGAGATTTACAGATAATTTGTGTGTAGGAGTAGGACTTACTAGAGTTTGGTTGAAGTGGAGAGGTCGGCGCTGGAACTCGATGATGGGGTTTGTTGAAAGAGTCCAAATCCGCCATTGATGAACAGACGAGCTTCTTCTGAGGTTAGGTGAAGAGGAAAGAAGACTTGGAATGGGAGCAAAGGAAAGTATAGAGAGAGAAATAGATAGGGGAGGTGGAAAAAGTGCCGAGGGGAGAGCAGATTTCAAAAGGTTACATTATTGTCCGTTTAATTTCGTATGACAAAATTACCCACAATCCGAGGTCTATGAATGTTGTATATTCATGGGTCCCCGTGGATAAAACATTAAAACCTTTGCATTACAAAAAATTACTTGTTTACCCCCTTTAAATAAATTACTAAGGTTTAGTTTGGTAATCATAGTTGTTTTCACTTTCACTCCAAAGAAAAGTAATATTTTTGTTTTTAAAATGTGTTTAACATTATTTAGAAGTTTGTTTGGTGGCGTAAATTTATTACAAGATTTTTAGAAGCAAAAATATGAAAGCATGAAAGCATGTTTGGTAAAAAATGTTACAAGATTGAAATTTTGAATAGTTAGTTAAAAATGTTATTTTAGAAAGAAAATAATAATAATAATAATATTTATCTTTTTAGGGTGTGTTCAACACTGTTTAGAAACTTATTTGGTAACGTAAATTTGTTACAAGATTTTTAGAAGCAAAAACGTGAAAAACATATTTAGGAAAAAGTGTTGCAAGTTTGAAAATTTGAATGATTAGTTAAAAATGTTATTTTATAAAAAATATATACATATATATTTAACAATGCTTTGCTACAGTATAGAAACAAACAAAAGTATTATTTTAATGATTTAATTTTGGTCTCAATTTTGAAAGCAATTCGGTACTATTCAAAAGCATAACAAATATTATCAAACATATTTTGTGCTTTTGTTTGTAAAAAACACTGGTCAAACAAATTTATGAAAACAAATTTAAATAGTGCTGCAAAACAAGCCAATCTGAAATTGGGGTGGGTGACGGGACCCCTCCAATTTTAATTATGATCTTGATCGGGATTAAAATAAAAATTGTTAACAAAGAAAATTAACTATAAATTCATAAAATAAATTTACTGAAGGAATTATGTTTGTGAGTCTTATTAAGCTAGTGTATATTCATAATCTTATCATGTCTAGTGATGAATTATTTAGACTTTTGCCAATAAAATGAATTTAAAATTAAAAAAAGGAGTTAGAATTGTTAATAAATAACTTATTTTACTTGCAATCATAATAATAACATTGACGGGAATAAGATGATAAAAAATTGCTATCATATATTCATATAATACATTTAGGATTGTTGTTGGAATAAAAAAAATAATTTTATTGATAGAGCTGTCAAAAGACTGCAGTCAATAAAAAACATGTTATGTGTTTGATAACACAATGTAATAAGTATTTTTCACAATTAAATTATTTTTTAATTTATTTGGTAACAAAAATTTTTAAACACTTTTATTACTAATTTTGCAATAATATTCTTTAATATGATATTACCATATTTTAGAATAACAACTTTTGTAGGAGGGGTGTAATTGTCTTTATAAAAAATTATAAAGACAAAATTTTCTAGTTACATAAAATATTCAACAAACACAATTTTAGAAGTTTCATATTATAACTTCATTTAAACACTCTACTAAATTAAATTTAAAAATTATTAAAAGCACTTGTAATATTTATCAAACACATCAAAAACTCAATTTTTCCAAAATAAAAACGCAAACAGCAGCACATAACCTAATTTATACCATCTTAACCACAAAACCTTGAAATTTGCATGTTTTGGAAATGATGTAAAATTTATTACTATAATCCAGCAGGGTTTATTGCATTATAAAAAAATAGTAATAATAATAAAAAAGGATAAATTGTGATTTTTTAAAAGGTTTTATTACTATCACGGAGTATTTTTAAAGATAATTTTATTTATAAATGCACTGACTTTGTGTGAAATGAGAATACAAGAAACACGAATCGGAGAGAGAGAATGGCAGGACATGAGGAATTTGTGGGAGCAGACAATGCCGAAGCTATAATAACCAGAATCGAGCACAAGTCTCGCAAGATCGAGAGCTTACTCAAACAGTATGAATCAATTAACCCATCACCCCAATTTCCAGATATAGCGTACCTATATATATATATATGTATGTATGTATTCATACGTATAGTTTCTGATTAACCCTGGTTCGATGTCTTAGGTATAAACCAGTTGAAGCTCTCAAAACTGCTCTCGAAGGCTCACCTCCCAAGACCAGAGACGAAAGATGCAAGGTTCGACCTCCTCTCTCTCTACACTTTCTCGCTCTAGAATCATGCCTTTTTTCTTGATCTGTTTAAGTGGAAGTGAAGAAAACTTGATTTCGTTTTGGGCGTTTGTAGTCTGCGAATTGGATAGTGGTGCACAGGGCAATCATGGCTATAAAAGATGTGGATGGAATGTTCTCTTCGTTGGATCCTGAGTACTACGATATCCTCATGAAGTAAGTCCCCAATTTTGTTGTTAATCCTAAATTGAGGACATATAGCTGTCTGATTTTGCTTCTCAATTTCTGATTTAAAATAACATTTTAATGCAAATTCAAAGAAAGAAAACAAATCAACCTAGAAATGTGACAAGAACTGCAATTTGTGGTCACAGAAATCCTTCCGAAGATAGATAACTGTTACTGTTGTTCCCGTCCTATAGATTGTCTCATCTGCACTTAGCAGTATGAGGATTACTTTGCAAGCGTAAATAACGCTGATGACATTTGCAAATGGATCTTTAAGGAGTAATCTAAGCAAATTTGGGGTTTAAATTAGGGAATTAACCATAGAATCTTAAAATGAAAAAAGTTGTTCTAGGTTAGAGACACCAAATGACTGCAACACTTATTGAACATTCTATACATGTTCTGGATTATTGTTGCTAACGGGTAAGGACAGGACTGTATTTTGAGGAGAGGTGAGTATGACATTGGTGCCAGACAACTTTTGGATGCTAAAGGAGATTATCACTGAACTGTAATATATAGTAAAGAGAAGAAATAGAAAGAAAGCGAGAATGGAGTGAGATACAATAATCAGAGAAAAACTGAAGTATAGATGAAGATGAGATATTTGAGCCATTAGTCTTCTTGATCTTGAATGAAGGCGTAGGTAGTCTCACCAAGGTACTCAGTTCTAAGCACTCATGTGTAAGAGCAGATGCAACAGATATTACTAGTTATGGGTTCTTGCTGATAGATTCATCGTCAATACCTCTATGATAAAATGTTCCTGAAAATTGCTCTCATTTATTGGCTCTAATTCCTCATGCGTGTCTTCTGCCTTTTTGTTCCTCTACCATGTTCTTACTCAAGTGCTTCAGACATCAGTTTGCTTTTTTTTACGGTCAAGGAACGAATTTAAGAGATGGATAGAGGAAGAAGAGACAGGAGAAGTGGAATGATATGACAATTTCGTCGGTAATGTATCCTTGTTATGGAATTACTTACTTAGCCCTATTGAGCACCTTCAAAGTGAAGTGTCGCTAGCACTAAGATCCCCTCTGATGAAATGATATTTGACCTCATTATTTTTGTTCTTGTCATGTTGAATTGTCCACGAACTATGTGAATTGGTGCCGTTTTATTTCAATATAATCTTGTTGGACCATGAGTTTAGTTCTAAACTCCAGCAAGAGTATTTTAAGTAATAGTGGTCCACAGTTTTATTTTCCATTGAATTCACTCACCTCCAGGTTCAGTTTTCACTAATTATTTCTCACTCCCACAAGAAAGTCGCTGACTATAAAATACCATCCTTATGTAGAACTGCAGTTTGTGAAGGATCTGACTCAATCAAATGACTGAGAATGGAAAATAACATAAACCTTCCAGACAGGAAATAAAACCAATATTTTTCAAATAGTTTTGAGATGATTAGACTGAGCATTTCCAGGCTGACTTAGAACTCATTCAGCATGTGTAATTTATGGACGTTAAGGAAAGATATGTGTACTCCATGATCTTATTGTTGGCTTGTATGTTTTTATTTTTTTTAATCCCGAGCATTCAAGTCATGGTTTTGTTCAATGGTTATATCTGCTGGCTTGGCACCCAACTTTCTCCTATCTTTAGTGAGAGATTTAGGATTTTTTCATGAATTATTGATTCCTATTTTCGATTCCTTATTGGTTCTCTATAGTGATCCTGTTTATGTAGCAAAAAAGTGCCAAATAGAATCTGGTTTTTGATGTCAAATTCACTGCCCACTACGAGATTACTTTCTACCTATATCTTTGCCTTAGGATTACTTCCTGTGATGACAATTCGTCTAAAGTTGAGTAAGGCACTGCTCTTACTTGTTGCAGAAATGGAAGTAGTGCTGAGCCTGGTGTTGCAAATTTTGATCCTGCCAGAGTTCCGCTCCCCTGCTTGAGGCCAGAGATAGGATTTATGTTGTTAGATATGTTTGATAGGTTATTTAGAAGAAGTGCAATAAATTCCTTACATAAGGGAATTCCTTTGCCTTTTAGCATGCTTCGTTCCATTTCCACGATCAGGTTTCCTTTCTTTCTCGCCCTACTTCCGAATAGCAGCCAAAATTTGCCTGAATTGCTGCGTGATGCTCTCCAACAAAGAAACTAGCTGACCTTGAAACCAAGCCAATTTTGGAGCAGCTTTATGATAATGGAACGCTCAAAAAGCCTTACTACGTGATGATGTGGAAAATAGCACGCATCACAATAGACTTTGGGAGAGATGAAGACTAGTGAGTGAACATATTTGAGCACCTCAAAAGATGTCAGGAGTTGTAAATCTCTCTTCTCTGGACTATTTTGTTTGTTTGCCAGGCAACCAGCATTGGTGTTCTGGCGATCTATCTCATATCTGGTCAATCATGCTTCAAGCCTTGTGATATAATATTAATACCATGGTGGCCGTGATGTAACTCTCTGTTGCATGATTACATTGTGCCATAGTGGTCTTAACACATGCGTTCTAACACCATGATGCATGGACTACTACATATGGATTACCTCATAATTGACCAACTCAAACCTCATTGTACCACGACACCATCATTGTTACATAACCAAAAATTTATACCTTAGTTTTGAATTAAGTATATACACATTTTCTAAATTTTATTTTCTTATAGGGTCCTTAAGGATAATTAATCTTTTTCCCAATAAAATACCATTGTTTACTTTGATATTAAAATATATTTTACTAATAATAATTATTTTTATATTTAGAGTCAGCTAAGTAATGATATTTTCTGATTTCTATGTTAATTGTCTCTTTGTTGCTATTTCTATTCTAGAAATTAGGGACTTCCTGCTTTGTGCAGGTTTCCCGGAATTTATTTTGTTCTCGCGCTATTTGGGAAATTAATAATAAGAATGTTATTTAATTTGTAGGTACTTGTATAGAGGCTTGTCTACTGGAGATCGTCCCACCTGTGATCAATGCCTACGAATTCATGAAAAGCTGACAGAGAGGGCTGGTTTAGGTTGTATACTGCGATCCCTTGCTGATACTGTAAATACAGTTTGATACCTGTTACTCCTTGCATCCATCTTAAAGGAGGATATCTGGATATATATATAATAAATCATTTGTTTGTTGTCTTGTCAACATGGATTGTCAAAACAAGCTGCATTTCAAAATGTTCATAACTATGATTAGGAGATTTTTTGCAATATGCATGTGCAAGAAGCTTTCAGATTTTTGGTCAAGAAACTCAACTTGCTTTACAGGTCTCCATCGTCATTGCCTTGTCTCGTATTTTCTAGGCCTTTTTCTTGATAATATATCTTGCTAAAAAACTCAGGTTGGAGGTATTTTTTTATTTTTTTATTTAACTGATCCAATGAATGATTTTAGAGTAAACTTAGAGAGAGGCTATACAAACCGAACGTATTAAGTACAGAGTTCATGGTACAGAAATGATATAAGGGAGTACTAGTGTGCCTTTGTGATTTTCGAAAATGTCACTACCCATTCGCTCTGGATTGGTGGGGGAACTGGGGATTGCTTATTAAAATTCTATTTTCTTGCAGCTTTATTTTATTTTACTTCAGGAAAAAAATAATAATAATAAATTCAATGGTAGGACATATTTGTCTGACTAGATGGCTCTAATTTTCACTCAAGACTTGAAATTGGTGGTTCTCCAATTCCAAGGACAATAATTTACTGCGTGTTTATTCAGTCCTGCTGACCTTCCTTGAGATCCGGCTCTATAATTTGTCGCTAGTTCTGTGTATGTTTGAGAGTCCTGAGTTCAACATCGGACATCTTCTAGCAGGTTGAGATGTGTTAACAAAATTTATGGAACCTATAATGTAGAATTCATCTGGTGGAAGAATGTAATGATGATATATATATTTTTTTTTCTGAAAATTCAAGCAAATGCATTAATAGTGAAAAAAATAATAATAATTTGAAATGAAGAATTTAATCTGATGCTTACGTCTTTTGCTTGCACATTTGAGGAAGATATGATGACTGATTACCAACCATATGTATACCAAACTTGAAAGGTTGATTGGCGCACTTTAGACACTTGCAAACATTGTTGGTAGATTAATCAACTACATGGTGAAGTTGCATCCAATGTTATAGTCATTTCACCAAAGATGCTAGAGGCATCATATTGTTTACCAATTACAGCCCATGAAACAAGGTATTAGTGCACCGACCATGGCTAGAATGATAGAATCTAATCATTTTATACACAAAAATCAATCAAGTTGAAATCATTTTTCTTCATCTTGATAATTGTTCCACAACATTGCCCCCTTCTCCAATCACAATAATCCTCACTTTTATCTAACATAATCATTCATAAATTGATATTCAAGAAAGATATTCAGATTCTCTCCTAATCATTCAATCATATCTAGACTCTATCCAATCCAATATGGAGTATATATTAATAAACACATCCTTCCTCAACAAAAGTAAAGATATGCAGGCACTTGGGAAATAAATATATATATACTCACTACCACTCATATACCTACCAATTAAAAATGACTAAAATACCCTTGTTCCAAAAACCAACTAAATCACCATTATATGCAATTTTTTTTTTTTTTTTTTTTTTCTTTTTCTTTTTCTTCAAGAGTGCATAGCTATGACTGAGCACGATGGGGTTCAAACGGCTGTTGGGAGACGGTTTTTGTGGTCCATGGGTGAGTGGGTACAGGTCGGTGGTGACTAGGATCCGACCGGTTGTGGAGGCGAGCTTGGGCTGCATCAGTTGCAACAGAGGATGAGGATGATGAAACAGCTGCCACACGCTCACATGAAGGGCACATGGTGAGGGTGGTGGGAGGTTTCATGTGCATGGACAACTGTGGGGAAAGTTTGAGTGCTCTAAGTTCATTCACTTCCTTCAGTAACCGCTTGTTCTCTTCCGTCAGATTCTCACAACACTTCTTTAAGTACTCGCAGTCTACCTCTGTTTGCTTCAACTTGGTCCTGCATCATCAATTCAATGTGCATATGACTTTCAAAGTTTGCAATATTTTTTATTTTTATAATTAAACACCATATATGTATGTAAGGAGTATATAGTTTCATGACCCACTTTTTTTTTTTTTTTTCCACCTCCCCCCAATCACAAAGTGCATGGTAAAGAGTAATTTCCCATTCCAATTCATGATTTAGTAGTTTTCTTCTTTTGCATTTGCGCGCTATATTACCCAATCTCAAGGGATAGCACAATAATGTTATAAATATGTTGTAACTGTGTAATGTTGCATAATTCATAAAATCCAGAATGAGAGCTGACATATATAAACACATATATGTGGATCAATGCATGTATGGAAATTATATCTCACCTTGCCCTTCTGTTCTGAAACCACACTTCCACTTGTCGAGGGCGCAGATTCAGCTGCTTTGCCAGGCTCACCTTTTGCTTCTGAAAACACCAAAAACAAAACCCATAAGCACAGGCACAGTACCCCAGAAAAACGTCCTCATTTCAATGGAATAATAACCAAAATGCCACTCACCGGATTGAGTGTGTTGTGATCCTTGAACGTCTCTTCCAGCACCGCCGCCTGTTCCTTCGTCAACCTCAACTTCTTCCTTTCTCCCCCGCCGCCGCCGTCATCTTCGTCGCCGATTCCCTGAAAACGCAAAGCTCTCTCGATCTCACTCTCGTTCCTCTTCCCGCTCACGCTCGAAACCGTGCTGTTCGGCGAAGAAACCCCCACTTCTTCCTCACAGTCCGCCGGTCGATTCACGTCGATCATTCGGAGGTACGATCTCGCTTCTACGTTCCGATCTGCAATGTGCATGTTCAATTAAATTTGAATTTGCTCAAAATTGATTCAATTTTTTTGCCAAAACAAATATACATACATATATATATTAAGTTACCTGTGATACACACAGAAGATTGAAATGCATCCAGAAAAGGAAATAAAAAATAAAAAATAGAAACTTAGTTGATATACACACACATATATCCATATACATTTATCAGAAGATTCAGAACATAACATTGAAATGCCCCACACACCGATCTGCAATGTAATTTGTAACATTTGAAAAGTACCTTCTTTGTTTTAATTTTTTTTCAGAAATCAAACAAGTTATCTACAGATTTAATTAGTAGGTGATATATACAGAAATACATATATATGTATATATATATATATATAACTATATAAGTATTTGTGTATATATATTCTTATATATATACCTACCTACAGAATAAGATTGAAAAGCATGACGAGTGTAAGAGGACTTGTTGTGAGTGAAATGCAAAGGAGACTGCATGAGATTGAATGTGAGGGGCGGAGGGAGATTCTGTGGGCATCTCAAGCTCAAACTAAGCCCTAAACCATCATCTTTATCAGCCATCTTCACTTTCTCTTTCTAAGAGAAAACAATCAACTCTTTCTCTCTCTAGTTCTTGGAATTATAGAGCTGTTTTTTGGAGATCGAATGAGATTGAACCAAAGGGAACACAAGGAAGAAAAGAAAATGGTTGGTCCTTTTGCAGGTAGGCGGGGCTACAGGCTTTTTTTGGCCATTGCAGTACAGACTACAGTGTGGGGACTGCAGAGAATAGGATATAGATACAGATATATATATATATATATATTGAGAGAGAGAGAGAAAAATGAAGGATGTATTTTCCTTCAATCATAACCGGTTGTGTCAGAGATGCCTATTGGCTGAATCATGATGATGGGATTGGCTTGGCTTAGCTTTGCATGCTACGAATTAACCCTACTTGGGATTAGTTTTAATCATGGTTTAGAGACTTTGTAACTGTGTTCTTTAACATGTCTCAACTATGGTTAAAGTCATTATCTGGCCTTTTCAATTATAACTTCTCATAAAGAAGCTGCTTTTTCTCTCGTTGACCATTGACCGGGGTGTGATTTTCTCGTGAGAATTAAAAGTGCAATCACCACGCTCCACTCTCCACGCGCCTGCTGTTATCACACTAGACCAAATGATTAAGTCCAACATGTTTGAAGTTTGGTTGAAAACTTTAGTCTAACCTCTAAAAAATTTGGATTTTGATCTAAAATGTTGGAAAATTAGACAAAAAATTGGTAATTCTAACTGTAGGCCTTGTTTGAAAATACTGACATTTTCAGTTTTCTAGTTGTCATTTAAAAAAATTAATTATTGGCCAAAAAAAAAAAATCAACAGTTAAAGTTCTTCACTTTTTTTTTTTTTTTTTATTTAGGGTAAAGTACAAAAAAAAAAAAAAAAAAAAAAAAAAAAAACCCCTTAAACTATGTTTGGATTTACAAATAACTTCCTTAAACTATATTTTGTGCATAAAATCCCCTAAACTATCTCATTTTGTTGCAACATACCCAAATACTATATTATATTTCACTAAATGACCATATTGTCCCTTCATATTGAATTACATTTAATATATTTTTCTTATCTAAATAAATTATGAAAAAAATTAATACTAATTTGATGAGATATTTTCTATTAAATTTGCATAAATTTACCTTTAATTTTTTTAATTAATTATTTAAATAAAAAAATTTAGTAGAAATATTTTTAAAAAATTAATTAATTTCTTAATTTTTAATGAATATATTACATGAAAATAAGATATTTTTTTCAAAGTATTTTATTAATTTTTCATCAATATATTGTATGAAAAAAGATGATTTTTTTTTTACGATAAAATTTTTTAAATTGGTTATGATACCTTTTATTATAAATAATAAAGTTTTAATAATAAGTTAATCAATTTAAAAAATGGTAGTTACAAATCTACTTATCTATTTTTTTTAAAAATGATAAATTGATACTAAAAATAAAATTAAGGTAAATAATATAATTAATATTTACATAAGAGAAAAGATAATAAAAATAATTTAATAAGACGTGAAAATTTTAATAAAAAATGGTAAAATAGTCTTTTGTGATAGATTTGTCCTTAATTGCAACAAATCAATAATTTAGGTGGGCGATTTTTAGTTCAGGGGAATTATTTACAAAAGGACAAAAATTTAAGTGGATTTTTTTTTACATGTAACCCTATTTTTTAAAACATAAAAAATAAAACAATTAAGGCCATTGCCTGAAGTGAGACCTGTTTTTGGCCCCACTTTAGGATATTAGTGGCCTTAATTGTGTCAATTTGATAAATAAGCTTGAATATCATTTTCTTAAAAAAAAAAAAAATAAAGTCATACTGAGACTGGGTTTGGATCGAAATTTTTTATACTTCCACCGTGCTACAAAAAGTATTTACCTTTCTATTTTTTGTTGTCCTAAAGTAATTATCCCAATTCAAACTTCAATTTACTATGTTTTTTATATATTCCCAATTTACCCTCCTTGCCTTAAAGTTATAGACATAATTAAAATTTTATGTAAACCTATCAAAAAATGGTATATTTTAAAATTCATTCTCTATCATTATAATAAAAATAAATAAATAAAAACATTAAAATTTCCTAGAGTTCCAAAAAGAGTTATATCAAATTGTATTTGGGTCAACCCACTCAATGAATCGAGTCAAACTATGTGAAAGTGAAAGGTGTGTGGCACCCACATTTGTTAGAAGCGCGTGATGCGTATAGGGTTTTGGTGGGATGTGTATGTCGAAGAATAGGTTCACACACTTGCACTGTTTTGGGTTTAAGGAAACCGTATAAGTTTTGCTAAATTGGTAATTCAATGCACGTTATGTTAATAAATACACCACTGTTTTATTTTTAGCATGGTTTTGCTAAACTTAAATGTCCAGTCAAAATTAACCTTCCCAAGTCAATATTGTGTCATAAATTTTTAAGATTGTCATAATTAGTAGTACTAGTTTAATCATCCTCTTTTTCTTGCTCTGTACAACACTGACTTTTCAAGTGCGTTGTATAAAATAAACACTTGAAAGTTTGGAAAGTTAAAAAGTAGAAAGAAACGTATGAGTTAACAATATGGGGTGACAAAGACCAACTAACCCTTTTCAGTTTAGAGATCATTAATTGAAGTTTATGTATTACACTTTGAAAATTATGATAACAAGCGTTCACGGGCTTATTCAGACAATAGAATTCGGTAATTATTGAATTATATTTCAATTGCAATTTTGAATTCTCATTGGACAGTTACATATAAAAGTTGTGAAATTCAACTGTTACTTTTTTGGGCATCATTCAATAGTGTTATTACATTTTTGTTGGACGTTATAAATGGGTTAATTGTTTGAAGTTTTAACTCCACGTTTTTAATTTCGTGTTGTTGGTCTACACTTTTAGGTTAACCAATTGATTTTAATCATTAATCAATCTAGATATAAATTTTAATTAGTTTCTTGGATATTATAATTAAGGAAGTCCATGTAGTATTTGTCTTTTTAAATTTGTGAGTTTGTGCAATTTAGATTAAAAGAATGGACCCGAAAATCTCATAATATTACTGTTATAAAAGAAAATTACTTTAATCTATGTTTTTTCTCCGTTATAAGAATATGATCTCGACGAATCATATCATGACACATAAACAAAAATCTAAATGAAGTTAATACATTTAGCTGCACGTTAATTAATTATTTTTACAAGTGAAATTAAATCAACTGAACTACCTCAATTTGTTGCATAAAGTGACCACCAGGTATGCCTCCTTTACCCAACAGTGGAGTACATGAATCTTTATAAATTTATATTACACAACAAATAACACAATACACAATTGATCCAATTTTTACTAGACTTTTCTAAACAGTGTTAAAAGATTTTGATATGAGTAGGACTTAATCGGGTCCTATTGTCATTGGCTTGATGATATTGCATTGGCAATGGCCTGATCTTTGAGTCATTTCAGTTTATTACGTTTTTTTTTATTATGATTACGTTGTAGAGTTTTAGATTATGCTTTTTTCACATATTTGAAACATGTTTTTTATTTTATTACTTTGTTTCATGATTTGTATATCTTTTCTATCTTGCCTTAATACCTCTGTCGTGCTGTTGGCTTGCCTTTTGTGCCTCCGTATTGTGCCCTAAAAAAAAAATTGGGTCCACTTCTAAGGATGCAATTAGGGGTGGCAAAAATCCCCAATCCGGTGGGGAATCGCCCCGCCTCCGCCCCATTTAAAGCGGGTTTGGAGAACTGTTTACTTAAATGGGGTGGGGATGGGGGTTAAAAAAAAAAAAACCGGCCGGTTGCGGGGCGGGGGACTAAGATCCCTGCCCCATACCCGCCCCGTTTAATATTTTAAATTATTAATTTATCCTACCATGTTAATATATTTACCAAATTAACCTTCACTTTCTCTCTCTCTCTATATGTATTGGAAACCCTACACTTAACACTTCCATATATATGTGTGTGTGTGTGTATGTGTGTGCTATGATTGTGTTTAAATAAAAATATAATCGGTTATGGGGCGGGTGATGGGGCGGGGCAAGTAGGGCGGGGGCGGTTATGGAGATTAGAGGCAAAAAATTAACTGGTTATGGGGCGGTTTTAGGGGCACCAAAATTAAACGGGGGCGGGGATGGGGAATGGGAAACCTGCCCCAAACCGCCCCATTGCCATCCTTAGATGCAATACTCCGTATTTTAGATAATTATTTAAAACAATAATTTCAATCGTCTCTCTCTTCTTCTATCTTTTCATTTTTCCAACCAAAGAGGAGGAGGATAAGGCCGAGCTTAGCCGAGCGTAGTAACGTGGAAGCACGGGGTCCCACGGATCCACAACTTACCTGTGCGTGTCACTGTGTCCCTCCACGTCTCGACACCCCCACTTCTCTACAATCATTGTATTTTCTCTCTCTCTGTGCTCCCCCCCCCCCCCCCCCCC